TGCAGAAGCTTCTTAGCGTGATATAATCTTATTTTTCTATTTTTGCCTTTTTTTTTTTTTTTTTTTTTGGCCAGTGCTTCTGGAGTCTTATTCAAGAAGTCTGCCTATCCCAATGTCTTTGTTTTTCTCTAGTAATTTCATGTCTTAGTTTTAGATCCTTGATCCATAATATATATCTACCAATATGACCTAGCTATCCCATTTCTGGGAGTATACCTAAAGGAAATGAAATCAGGATATGGAAGAGTTACATGTACCCATGTTTATGCAGCTGAATTCACAATAGCTAAGATATGGAACCAATCTAGTTGTCCATCAGCTGATGACTAGATAAAGAAAGTGTTGTACATATACATGATGGAATACTACTCAGCCATAAAAATGAATGAAATCCTAACTTTTGTAACAAAATGGATGCAGCTAGAGATCATTATGCTTAGTATAATAAGCCAGTCCAAAAAAGGGCAAATATCACATTTTTCTGATGTTTAGTAGCTAATATATGAATATAAAAATGTAATATATATTAGTGAAGTTGAATTATTTGGATTTGATTATTGTTTATAGCCTTTGTCTATATTCCTGCTGAACAGTGCTCTTTCTACTTTTTACTTGGTGAACTCTTTATTTACTGGAGCATTAAGCCTTTGCCTGTAAAGTATATTTAAAATGTATTACAAAAACTTAAAAAGAAAGGAAGAGTAAAGGTAAATGAAGGGAGAGAGGAAAGTATTATATTCTTAGAAATTGTATCTGTGGGCCGGCACCACGGCTCACTAGGCTAATCCTCCACCTGCGGCACCAGCACCCCAGGTTCTAGTCCCAGTTGGGGTGCCGGATTCTGTCCCTGTTGCTTCTCTTCCAGTCCAGCTCTCTGCTGTGGCCCAGGAAAGCAGCAGAGGATGATGGCCCAAGTGCTTGGGCCCTGCACCCGCATGGGAGACTTGGAGGAGGCACCTGGCTCCTGGCTTTGGATCGGCGCACTGCACCGGCCATCACAGCCATTTGGGGTGTGAACCAACTCAGGGAAGACCTTTCTGTCTGTTTCTCTCTCTCTCACTGTCTAACTCTGCCTGTCAAAAAAAAATAATTAAAAAAAGAAATTGTATCTGTGAACTACATAAAATCTGTTTTCTTTATATCAATAAAATATAAATAAATAATTTTAAAATAAAGAAATGGTTAATCACCATCCAAATCTAATTAAAATTATAATTGTTACTACAGATCAGGGAAAACTTTGGTATTTGTCTTTCTGGGAATGGGTTATTTCACTAAGTGTAATGGTTTCCAGTTGCATCCATTTTCTTGCAAAAGACAGGATTTCAGGCTCTTTCCTTGTTTTTCTTTTTCTTTCTTTCTTTTTTTTTTATAGATGAGTAATATTCCATAGTGTATATATACCATAATTTCTTTATTCAGTCATCAGTTGATGGACATTTGGGTTGATTCCATATCTTAGCTGTTGTGAATTCAGCTGCAGTGAACATGGGAGTACACATAACTCTTTCATATGCTGATTTCATTTCCCTTGGATAAATTCCCTGGATTGAGATTGCTGGGTCATATGGTAGCCAATAGAGTATCTAAAATGTAATGTATAGGAGTGAAATTGACAGTTTGAGATTTGATGACTGTTTATAGCCCCATCTCTACTGTTGAATAACTGGTTTTTTTTCCCTCATAGTTTGTTGAACTATTTACTTTCTGTAGGGTTAATCTTTTTTTTTTTTAACTTTTATTTAATGAATATAAATTTCCAAAGTACGGCTTATGGATTACAATGGCTTCCCCCCAATAACGTCCCTCCCACCCGCAACCCTCCCCTTTCCCACTCCCTCTCCCCTTCCATTCACATCAAGATTCATTTTCGATTCTCTTTATATACAGAAGATCAGTTTAGCATACATTAAGTAAAGATTTCAACAGTTTGCTCCCACACAGAAACATAAAGTGAAAAATAATAGATGATTTTTTAAATGATGATGAAATCAGATCAGACCTGTTGTCATGTTTAATCCCAGTGAGAGTCGAGTTGGGAATTGATAATTTCTTTCCTTTTTTTTTTTTTTACAGAAGATCAGTTTAGTATACATTAAGTAAAGATTTCAACAGTTTGCACCCCATAGAAACACAAAGTGAAATATACTGTTTTAGTACTTGTTATAGCATTAAATCTCAATGTACAGCACATTAAGGACAGAGATCCTACATGAGGAGTAAGTGCACAGTGACTCCTGTTGTTGACTTTACAAATTGACACTCCTGTTTATGGCATCAGTAATCTCCCTGTGCTCCAGTCATGAGTTTCCAAGGCTATGGAAGCCTTTTGAGTTCTCCGACTCTTATCTTGTTTAGACAAGGTCATAGTCAAAGTGGAGCTTCTCTCCTCTGTAGGGTTAATCTTATGAATATAAAGTAAACTGAACTTTGTAAAAATTAAGAGTGGGTATATGAGAAAGTAGAGGAAGAGAGTGGGCGCACAGGCAAGAGTATAGAGTATATATGTTCCTAAATCTGTGTATATGAAATACATGAAATTTGTATACCTTAAATAAAATTTAAAAAAAACTATTGTGTTTAGTGAAGGAATATTCAAGTGGCATCACGATATCCCTTCAAGATCTGCCTCTTTCTAAGAAAAGGAAAATCACTCATATATACCTAAAACACTTAATCTGCTTAATCCAACAGCCCCTCTAGTAACAATGCTAAGAAAATATTTCAAATTTCAAAAGTACAAATTTTTCCATCATCATCAGTATTTGTCATACACAAGTAAGATTTTTTAAATGTTATATATTTACTTTATTTGGTTTTTATAACTTATTTCAGAATAATTTTATATTTACAAAGCAAAAATTGTGAAATAGTACAAAGAAATCCGATATGCTCCAGGGTCTTCTTCCAGGTTTCCCATGGGGGTAGCAGGGCCCCAAGCACTTGGGCTATCTTCCACTGCCTTTTCCCAGACCACTAGCAGCAAGCTGGAGGAGAAGTGGAGCATCCAGGACAGGAACCAGCACCTATATGGGATGCTGGCAGCACAGGTGGTGGCTTTACCCACTACATCACAACGCTGGTCCCATCCCTGCTTTACAAAAGGAATACTGAGAAAAAGAGAAGTTAAGCTTCTTGTCCAAGATTATAAATCTAAACTGATAGTGGCACCAAGATTTAAACTCAAGTAATCTGACTCTGTAGTTCACAGTCTAACCTCTGTGTTATGCCACTCCAAACTAGCTTATCTCTCAGAGGTGCTGTACCAATAGTGTCTCTGGTAGATCTCAGGTTCCTCTCTTTACCTCTGTCATGCCTGCGTGAAAGTGAAATGAAAGCCTAGTTACAAATCTTGCCGTGTGAAGCCTCTAACTTTCTTTTTTCTCCTCTCATCAAGTAGTGCATTAAGATAAAGGGACATGAATTGACTTCAGAATCTTGAAAGATTTGGGAGAACACATTCTGTCTCATTGAGAGGTTACTTGGATTCAAGTTAACAGAAAAACTTTCTAAAGATAGCTAAAGCAGAGGAGGGGTTTGTGGGACCATGAGGGTTGTTATCTCATGGAACCCAAGACCAAGAATACAGTTGAGCCTCAAGAGGTACTAAAATCAAGTACTAGAAAATTAGAAGCCATGATTACTTCCTTTTTAGATACCCATGTTAGATGTCCATGGAGGAGAAAGAAAAAGAAAAAATCAGGTAATGTAAAGGGAAACAACCCCTACTCCATAGGTAAAAATTTCACAGAACACAATTTACCATTTGTGTATTCTGTTCAGTTGAAGGGAAATGCCTGCAAGCACCTTGCCCAGCTGTGTGTAGATTCAGCTGCTGCCTACCATCCTGTCCATTCTTAGGTCCCTATGTTTGGTATTTTGTTTATATCACTTGATAAACCTCGGTGAGGCCTCTATAACCCTCTAGCAACCAGAAGATAAAACCTTTCGATTTCTTTCCAGTCTTCTCTCCAGGTCTTTGATCTGTGTGAGGGTTGGGGTGTGTCTAGCCCACAGGTCATAGGAAATTATTTTTTCTGTCCCTGCTAAGGAAACTGCAGGTGGACTTGAAATTCAGTAAATCTATAGTAAGCTAATTTTTAAATTTATAATTTTGTAAAGCCTGCAAATGATGTTGTAAATATCCAAATGTCCATTCAGAGAAGAAAGATTACCCACCCCTGATCTATGCCATCAAAGAGTCAGGTTCCCTTGCATTTTCAGTTGAGAGCCAGGAATTTTACCACTCAGGATATTTCATACTGTTTCTGCCTTCCATATTCTTGTTTAGCTACTCTTTTCTCAGCAAACATCTCTGGCTCTTCACATTTCTTGGGATCTCCTTCAATTTCCGGTAGACTAAATTCAAATTCCTGAGTTTGAAAGTCCTCCAAAATCATGTCCCCTCCACTCTATCCCAGCTATTTCCAGTGAAGTCCTTCACTCTTGTTAGGCTATTGCCCTCTCTGATCTAGAAATTTCCCAGACTGTTGCACTGTTCCAAGCCATTGCTTGTATAGATCACGTTTTACAAAGCCCTTTTCCATTCCTTACATCTGTCAGAGTTTGGTCCTGTAAGTCATTCCCTCCAAAGAGTCCTATGTGATCTTTTTAATACCTAGGGTGACCATCTGTCCTGGTTTGTCTGGGATATCCTAGGACATGTGTCTTTCAGTTCTAAAACAAGGATATTCCTAGATAAACCAGGATGGTTAAACATCCTCCTGACATCTCACTGTCTCTCCTCATTATACCACCTTGTTGGAATAAAAGTTCCGTGAAAGCAGCAGTAGCCACTGCTTCAGCACTTAGAAGATCCTTTCTCTACAGTGAAAGTTATGCTTCAGTTAGGCTGAGACCTATTCCATCCCCATTTCATATGGAATATATTGCTGTACTCAAGTCAGTGTCTACTCAGCTAATAAGGGGGGTTCATTTTAAGTTGGCACTATATCCCAAATATTTCTTTATGTGCTAATGTATTTGTCTTTTTTTTCCAGCCCAGATGACTTACTCAATGCCTTGAATGAGGGAATCAGCCGTGCAGATGTCATCATCACATCAGGGGGTGTCTCCATGGGAGAAAAGGTATAAAAATGAAGAGGTAGCTGCTGCAGTACCCTTGCATATGGTCAGTAAACTGTGGTCCGGGAGGTAGCCATTGTTCGTAACCAGGCATCCACAAAGCTGAAAACCCGTGGTGTCTCAGAAATGACTGGTCTTCTAAGGTGGGATGCAGTGTGGTAGGGCAGAGAGCCTATCCCAAGAGAGCCGTTACAGAATGGTGTTTGCTGTTCTGGAGACTTCTGGCTTGCTTCTCAGTTTTATCGTACGTCTCTTCCTCTATATGTGATATTTACGCCCAGGGTAAAGCTCTAAGGTCCTTCCTTCTACCTAAATTTGAACATGACTTGTCAGAGACAACCAAGTCACCGATCATATATTCCAACCTTATAAAGAACACATAGGTCCCTTCCTCATAGGAATGAAGGAAATTAGGCATCCCTTTTGATCATATTTGTAAAACCAGTAAGTTATAGTAATAATGAAAATATATAAATACACAATGTGATTTTACTGGACTATTTTGTATATGATACTAGTTTTATAAAAGTCCCAATTTGATATTTCAGTATAATTAAATTTATGTTCTCATATCTTAATGAAATGTGTTAGTTCATCCTGACTATTGGGTTCACTGAATAATGTTATTAAAGTAAAATACTTTTGACAATAAACAACTTTACATTTTGGCTCAAAAAATAGTGCAGATCACAGAATATTTTGTCAGCCTATAATTCCTTTCTGTGCTTTCTTTTACCTCATTTAATGACTAAATTGAAAAAATATAACAATATTATCATAATAGCAATTTTTACTAAAATTCATGTTTTCCAAGAGCTTTTTTATTTTAAACTAGATCTTGTATAGATATGATTGTTTTTGAAACCTGCCTTCTCTAACTGTAAAGCTGCCTAAATTCATAATCTCACTCTTTAGACAGTGAACTGCATTTTCTCTAAGTGAGCCTGAGCAGACAGTGCCTCCATTCCATGCACAAACTTTAGTTTTAGAGTGTTTAGGAATAGCACTTAGGCTGCCAAAAATCTGTAAGAAAAAGAATCTCAGTCCAAGACTACCATCTTAAAGTACATTCAGGAGTGGAAGATCTGAAGCGCGGGTAGGCGTTCTTGGACCAGACAGATTGCTGGGTTAATCTTCCCTCCAAGTCCCCCAGGTGTCTTTAGCCCCAGGAAACAAATTGCTGCGGGCCTCTCCTGAGGTCTCTAAGGCTGGGGCTGAGGTCTGCACTGTGTGTGCAACGTGTCTCTTTCATTACCTTCAGGCTCTCTGTGGTACGGTCAATATCACAAGAGCAAACCCTTAAGTTGGGCTGTGTAAATGTTAAGTTTGTTATTTCCAGGAATTTTTATGTATAATTTATATTTATTCCTAAGGAACTTAATTGTGGGGTAATGTCTGCTTGGAAGGCCTAGTTTGTCTTTTTAGTACTTTCAAAGAAGAAACAACTTACAACATACATAGGCTTGGCAATTGTGGCTCAGCCGTGGTAAGGACAGAACACTTTTCAATCTAACCTTTTTTTATTATTATTATTAACAAAGTGTTAACAAAGAAGTCAGTTATCATAAAGATTTGCTCACAAGTAAACAAAGCCAAGATAGTTAAGCATATTGGTTTTATTTACTTGTTGTGTAGTAAGACACACTAAGGCATTTACTGAGAAAGAGATGTTAGGACCTGGGCATCCCAAGTGTTCCATAGGAGCTAATAATTGTCCTTCCTACTTCCTTGGGATGATGTAATGAGATGACACAAGAACCAGGAAGAAAGAAGTAAAACGTACATGAGCAAACTCCTGCCAGCCAACAAATTGAATCCCAAAGACATTTCCAGTGTACTTCACCAGCAGAAAGAAAGAAAATCATAAGAGATAAATCATTTGCTTCAGCCCAGGAACTGAGCCTGAAAACCAGTCACTGAAAAGACTGGCGATTAAGGAAAGATCCAGAAGCATTATGTAGCAGGCGTAAATCTTACATGCAAAAACTTAAGTGGGCAAGAAATGTTCTTATTTATTTCTATTTGAATCATACCTTAAGCACTTAAGCTACAAGATTGGCAGCAATTTTTGTTTAAGCTACAACTGAGACTCGTTTCTTCCAAGAATTATGCCAAGGAATCTGGAGGGACTTAAGCAGAACCAGAACATTGGAGAGGTGCACCTAGTTCACTAGTCTACACTGGATACATCTAGAGTATTCTTACAGTGCCATTAGACGTCAGGTCTTTGCTCCTTTGAGCCTCCTAGCAACTCTGGGGTGGTGGGGAGACTGGGAACCTTAGGCTGCCAGTGGGCACATTTCTCAACCATATTTTCTGAAGTCTGGCCACCTCCCCAAAATATTGCGTGCCAAGCAGAAGGGAGGGAGGGGCCATTGCTGTTTATGGGAACTACAGACTTCTATCCTCTAACCAGCCAAGGAGAAATATTCTTCCACCATTTCTTCCCTATAGATCTCTGCCCATCTCTATCTTATGCTGTCCCAACTAGCCTTTTCAAAGAGTTTCATTTTTGACTCTAATAAATACTTTTAAATCTCAAAAAATGTTTCATTTTTATAAGACAGTGAACATTTCATTTAAACAGTGTCTGCTTTTTGCCATGTATTACTATAAGTTTTCCATAACAAAACATCTCCATAACATTGTTCAAAGACAAAAGATTCCAGTAACCAGAAGGATACACTACACTGGACACTAGTGATCTTTTTTGCCCATTTTAAAGTCTCTTAACTTCTCCTGACAGGGTCTCCACCACCCCCATGTGATCAAAATAGTCATAAAAAATGATTGATCACAAAATCTGGGCTCACTAAGTTTGCCCTGATTATTTTACAGTAAGAGAGCTAACTACCCATTTAAGTGCCATTGAATTTGTTTTTCCAAAGGTAGAGCCATGCAGCCACTGAATATTTAAAACTAACGAACAATATCCCAAACAAGGAAACATAATAAAATGTTCCTTATCATTACAGTCAGTCCTTGTCATATATCTTCTGCTAGATTTTGGGTTAGCAGTCTGCTTTCATGAAACCATCTGCTTCCAAACTAAAGTGATCTGGAATTCCTGACTGGTTCTGCTCCACTGATAAGATGAAAGCTATCTAAATTATATCACCTCAGAAGCCTGTCTTCTTAGAAATGTCAGTAGTTTTAACTACCTATTACAATCCTTTTCCCTAGTGTTCTGCAAACAATTGTTTTTTGCAAACAAAAAAGCTTTTGTCCATAGCTTATAGTAGAGCCTGAAGGCAAACATCAGAGTAAAGCAAAGCTTTCTAGAGATGACAGATACTCAGTGGTTGTGCCTACCGAAACCACTAATATCAAAATAAAAGAAAAGCAAAATTGCCTATTGGGTTACTATATATACCTATTTCAAAAAAGATTAGATCACTATTTCTTCTGAAAATTAAACAGCAAGAACATTGCCAAACCTCCAGAGACTTCCCACAGGCTGAAAAATTTCTGCAATATTTATATTAATTACATTTACCTATAGGAATCTAACCTCGGGAAAACTGAACATCTCTTCTCAGATATGACAGCTCCTCTCATAAAATTCTTAAAATAGTAACATATTAGACAAACCTAATCATTTTTAACATCTCTTTTTATAAGATGAAAGAATAAATCTGATTTTCTAGAGACCCTCTAGTAAATTTCAAGGATAACTTTTGGTATAAAGAATATTCTTAAATGTTTAAATTTTTTTTAAAGTTAGGGTTGATCTTTAGAAGGCAAAGTTAAAAGATTTACCGCCAAAAAAAAAAAAAACTGGGCACTGGATTAACATAAGATCATGAGTATTTGAAAAATAAGACTGGTTACCTAATTTTTTTTTCTTTTTTTGACAGGCAGAGTGGACAGTGAGAGAGAGAGAGACAGAGAGAAAGGTCTTCCTTTTTTACTGTTGGTTCACCCTCCACTGGCCGCCGCGGCTGGCGCATCACGCTGATCCGAAGCCTGGAGCCAGGTGCTTCTCTTGGTCTCCCATGCGGGTGCAGGGCCCAAGGACCTGGGCCATCCTCCACTGCACACCCGGGCCACAGCAGAGAGCTGGCCTGGAAAAGGAGCAACCGGGACAGAATCTGGTGCCCCGACCGGGACTAGAACCCCATGTACCAGTGCCGCAGACGGAGGATTAGCCTATTGAGCCGCGGCGCTGGCCACCAAATTTTTCAAAATGACAATAAAATAGGCCAGCGCCGCGGCTCAATAGGCTAATCCTCCGCCTTGCGGCGCCAGCACACCGGGTTCTAGTCCCGGTCAAGGCGCCGGATTCTGTCCCGGTTGCCCCTCTTCCAGGCCAGCTCTCTGCTATGGCCCAGGAGTGCAGTGGAGGATGGCCCAAGTGCTTGGGCCCTGCACCCCATGGGAGACCAGGAAAAGCACCTGGCTCCTGGCTTCGGATCAGCGCGATGCGCCAGCTGCAGTGCGCCGGCCGCAGTGGCCATTGGAGGATGAACCAACGGCAAAAAGGAAGACCTTCTCCGTCTCTCTCTCACTGTCCACTCTGCCTGTCAAAAATAAATAAATAAATAAAAATAAAAAAATAAAATAGTTGAAAATGAGTATGATTATAAATAAGTTTTGTCCATTTGTAGATGAAGCAATTTGTTCTTTGCTTTTTTATTTCTTATTTTATTTTTTTTATTTTTTGCCAGGCAGAGTTAGACAGTGAGAGAGAGAGAGAGAGTGAGAGGGAGTTATAGACAGTGAGAGAGAGATAGAGAGAAAGGTCTTCCTTCCGTTGGTTCACTCCCCCAATGGCTGCCACGGCCAGCGCTGCACCGATCCGAAGCCAGGAGCCAGGTGCTTCCTCCTGGTCTCCTATGTGGGTGCAGGGGCCCAAGCACTTGGGCCATCCTCTGCTGCACTCCCGGACCACAGCAGAGAGCTGGACTAGAAGAGGAGCAACCGGGACTAGTACCTGGTGCCCCAACCGGGACTAGAACCTGGAGTGCCAGCACCTCAGGCGGAGGATTAGCCAAGTGAGCCGC